AAGACCTTGCACAAGGGCAAAATTAAAGGAAAATTGAGTGCACATCTCACGCTGAGTGTTGCCATCAATTGTGGTAAATCTCCACTTTCTTAACAAAACAAAAAGTCATTGAAACAGCGTCTGTCTAAGCTGCACTAAAGCCATTTGGAAAAATGCATCAATGGAACATGCATCAACAAAACACAGATTTAATCCAGACATAGTACATTCATGAAAGTTCCATTATTCAAGAACTTTTTTCTTGTGACCACTGCCTTTATAAAATGCCTCACTACCTGTGTGCCAACGGTTGTGTGGTTGGTGATTATGCCACAAAGAACAAGAGTGCTGATAACTTGTAGTAATAGTGTACAAATATCATTGCAATTCCTTGCAAATTTATCCATACTTCTAACATTTTATTTTGACTGCATGTATGGTTGTTGGTGGACCTTTTCATTTTAAAGATATCGTAAAAAGAAAACACATTTCTTTTACTTGCCTTCATATAGTGAAACCAATGACAAACATCGCAGATATAAATATTGGGGTGCTGGAAATCTTATGCAAACTCTTAACAGATGTCATGGTACTGTAGTCTGTATTAAAGAATACCAATGAATAACAGAGAAACAGTTAGGACCATTAGCTGGGGTGACTATTCAGGTAACATTACAGGCAATCTGCAACAATACAAGTTCACATGGCTAAATTTATGACCACCTAAAATTGCTGGTTATGAATGCAACAAAACAATAAAACAGAACTCTTAGAGATACAGCAGTGCTTCATAAAGCAATACGAAAGAGTTTTCTAGCACTTAGGTCCTTTCTATAGCTGTGTCATACAAATTAATTGTTCTGGAAAACTTAAAGCATTGCAAAAGATAAGACATTTCTACGTAGAAGTCAGGCCATCTGTTTACTCAGTGCGGCAATGAGGCGAGGGCTCAATGAGTAAAAACTTTGCATATGAGATAATGTTCTAGAAACAGCAAAGAGCAACAACTAAAGCAAGATTAACCCTTACACAGTGTGGAAATAGGCCATTCAGCTCATTGAGTCCACACCAACCCTCCGACAAGCATCCTACCCAAACTCAACACAAACCCGCCCCCACCCCATCCCAGTAATCCTGCATTTCCCATGGCTAATCCACCTAGTTTGCACATCCCTGGACACTGTGGGCAATTTAGCATAGCCAATCCACCAGCCCTGCACATCTTTGGACTATGGGAGGAAACCTGAGCACCCAGAGGAAACCCACACAGACACAGGGAGAATGTGCAAACTCTACACAGACAGTTGCCCAAGGGTGGGATCAAACCCGTGTCCTTAGCACTGTGAGGCAGCAGTGCTAACCACTGAGCCACCATCCTGTCCTGTGGAAATATAAAAACAAAAGCATATAAAAAAAAACAACTAAATGATGAAATAATTAAAATAACTGTTTTAAACCATAAGAACATCAAGCAAAACAAAATAAGTAAATTAACAATACAAAAAAATGAAGGTCTGTTACTTTCAGCAGCAATGGGGTCAATAGTGCAATCATATAGTTTGTATCTATTTGCATGTGCTTCCAAATGTATTTTAAAATGGCATGTGAACATGGGAAGTGTCTCATTCCCCACAATAGGCCTCTGAAAATTGATTAAAGTCTATTTTAAAGCATAGCTTTGCACATGTACCTAGTAAGTAATTACCATTTATAAATGATTGTGCAGCCACTCGATTTCAGTAAATTTAAAAAGTGGTTCCAGCTCATTCCCTTCAATAGAAAAGAAGTATAACTGCTTCAGGTTGTCTTGGTAACAAGGGACCAAAGTTTCTGAAAAGAATTGTGAAATCCAATGCAACAATAGTCATAGTCATAGAGTCAGAGCCACACAGCATGGAAACAGATCCTTCAGTCCAACCAGTCCATGCTGACCATAATCCCAAATGAAACTAGTCCCACCTGCCTGCGCTTGGCCCATATCCATCCAAACATTTCTTATTCATGTACTCATCCAAATGTCTTTAAACATTGTACCTGCATCCACCACTTCCTCTGGAAGTTCATTCCACACACGAATCATTTGTGTAAAAAAAAAGTCCCTCGTGTCATTTTTAAATCTTTCTCCTCTCATCTTAAAGACATGCCCCTAGTCTTGAACTCCCCGACCCTAGGGAAAACACACCTGCCATTCACCTGATCTATACCGCTCATGATTTTACAAACCTCTAGACGGTCACCCCTCCACCTCCTACACTCCAGTGAAAAATAGCCCAGCCTAACCAGCCTCTCCTTATAATTCAAACCCTTCATTCCTGGCAACATCCTGGTAAATTTTCTCTGAATCCTCTCCAGCTTGAAAACATCCTTCCTATAATAGGGTGACCAGAACTGGGTACAGTACTCAACGATCTCACTCAGGGACAAATCAGAAGTACCAACCAGAAAATTCAAATAAACAATGGTATACCTGAAACATTTGAAATGTATTTAGATTGCAGCAAATTCCTAGAAGTCCCTTTATAAGAACTTTAACACTATGTATTGAATTTATAATCTAATATATTCCTGAATTCAATAACTTTAACATGATCTACCATTACATTTCCAGAAGACTTCTCAAACCATAGATCATTCTTGTAAATTGTGCACTGGGGTAAGAAAAACATTAATTCTAATCCCTTGTCTTATGCTTGCCCAGAACTACTTATTCCAATCTAGTAACTAAATCCCTTGGCAACAGTTATGTGATCATGCAACATTAGAAAAGCCAATGTACAAATTTCCAGTGATAACAACATGAATAACTATTAATCCATGACCCCAATCATAAGCATATTCTTAGATTTTCAAGCAGATAAAACATCTGGATTACATGAATAAAAAGAAACTTATCCAAATTGAAACAATCAACTGCGTGACAAAGAGACACATTAATCATTAGGTCAATGATAACTTTCTCTCCACAGATACTGCCAGACCTGCTGAGTTTCTCCAGTAGTTCCCATTTGCATTTCACATTCCCACATCTGCCCATATTTTGCTTTTATTTAACTAACTGAATTCTAGAAAGATTCACTGTAGCCATCTGTTATCTGTGGTAAAAGAATAGCGTGTTACCTATATGTTTTGAGCAAGGAGAGAAAGAGGAGATGCTGAAAACTTTAAAGTATTTATTAAATGAGACAGAGTCAGACAATTAGAACAGAAAAAGGGGACAGACTTTCTGAAGCTCAACAACATTTGAGAAACTCAAAACCATCCACCCAGGACAAAATCATCATCTGACCAGCTTTCCACTCACTACCTTCCAGCACACAGTCTGTAGATGGTACACACTGCAGTCAATGTACAAAGAAGGAATTCACTAAAGCTTCTTTGCAGCATCTACCGTTTTATCTGTAACCCAAAGAGAGAGAAAGCAGCAGATGCAAAGGGACAGTCAGCACCGTGTAACACACCAGCCTGGACGTGAATCACCATGTTATCATTCTGAAAGCACCTTCATCACACCAACTGCAGAGATTCACTCAAAAGACCCACCAATTTCTCACCTGGGATAGGCAACCCCTATATCCGAAGAAGGAATAAAAAAAACACTATGCAAAACACCTTCAACGTGGATACACAGTAGACAGTAACTAAAAGCGAGAACAGTCTTCAGTACAATACCTCAGCCATTCCACACGCTGTGTGGTGATGGAAGGAATGGCAGAATATTAGGGTCGTGTTCCTATAAATTTGCAGAGAAAATGCAACATTTCATTTATCCAGGGATAATCTGACAGTGCAGATCTAAAACAAAATGCATGCCCAGGGCACGTATATATTCTCACAAAGTGTCTTATTAATAGGGCGGGCTGGGCTATATTAATTATTGATCAGTCGGTTCGCATTGTTGCGGCTTAACAATACATATAAGGACAAAGAATCACACGGTGCAAACTCCCAAAACTTAACAGGAGACTGATCAAAAGGAAGAATGCCTGATGTTCTGGAACAGACCAGAAAGAAAGACATCGGATCTCACGCATTGTCTTTCAATTTCCGTCCAAACGTCCATTGATAGACTACAACAATACAGACATCGTAACAAAAGCTACTGTCCAAGTCGGGAATTCCTTTGATGCTGATAGCCCTGATTGACTCATTCGGAGACCAATAAAGATGGAGCAGTACATACAACGCGAGGGAGCGCGAAACTGCCCGGGGATTGGATCTGGAAAACCCAAACTCTTCACATCCCTCTCTATAGCAGGGTCGTCGTTTGGGAATAGGGGCGAGGGTCGTAAAGGAAAGAATTAAACACAAACAGGCAGAAAATAACTCCAATTTACCACCTGTTTTAAAATGCAGTATTTTTAGACATACACGAAACTGAAGAAGGATTAGTTATCAAGGTAAGGAACGACGCCAAATCAAAACACGATGAGTTGGGGTTGGACAGAAACACCATTTCGACCTTTAGAAAAAAAAATGATCTTTTTGATTGTTAACTGCTTCCGAAACTAGCCCAGAGACAAGCCCCAGGTGAATGAGTTGGAGACAGCTGTCAGCAGTTAGTTTCTGGGCTCAACATGTACAATCTGAATCCGAGCTGGTTATCGTATCGGGAACCTGAGGTGGTTTGTATCAGAACCAGAGAAGGTACCAAAGTTAGCCCGTCACATTCCCTCCACCAGCTCACAGCTCACTCACCCCGTCGTTTTACAGAAACTGTTTCAAGATTCATGATCTTAACTCTACTTGCTGCAAAACAAGTCGATGAATGTTGAACAGCAGTCAACTTGATATATAAGACATCAAATCTTAAGCAGTGATTGTGATGCTGCCAGCTTAATGCACAACACTGGTCCCAGCAAATGTATCCTGTTTTGGTTTCTGTGCGTGTGAAACTGCATTTAAAGCCATATTTGTACCACGCTCATACTTGAAAAATGAAACTTAAGACCACCTGCAGCATCCTTTACACAAACTGAAGAGAACAGCCGCTCTGTCTTAGCATTTCACAGCTGCACACATACCTGCAGGACACGGTAATCTCCACTTTAGTGGCCGGGATGCTTCCTTGAATAGGGTCGAACTCGCTTACAGAAGCCATATCATCAAATTTGTCCATCGCGTCTTCCATCGGCATCCAGTAATTCCAGGCTGGTTCTCCCAGCACCAACGTCACACCACAACAAAGCCAACGGGCGGCAATTAAAGGTTGTCTGCCTTACTGAAAAGAGAGAAAAAAGACAGGAATCGGAGTTAGGGCGAACCACAGCAGACTTTGCCTACCATACTGAACGCTGCTACACTCGAATTATTCAGCGCAACCTTTTTTTTTCTCCCCTATTGGTCTAATTGCAGAGATCAGACGCTGCTTTAATTACAGTTTACGGACTGAAATGATATGCTCCACCCTCCGGTCTAAAGATAACTTACATTGCTTATCACTGTCAGCTTTCAGGAAAGTACTGGAAACCGACTATTGAGGCATTATTAATATAAAGGCACAAACATTATTCTCTCGCAACATTGATTGTCACACGTTAAAACAGTGCCTCAATCATGAATATGTGCGTTGTTTGTAGGACTCATTAATAATGAACAGTGTGCAAATAAAAAAAATCATGTAAACAAAATGGTAACGACACCTTATTATTCGTGTGCATCAAGACTAAAACAAAGCTCTTGTGATGTTCGAACTACAATTTTGACTTGACCAGGATTTCCCCGTATGATACACGGCTCTAACAAAAACTGCATATACGTTATGGTCAGAATGTACTCTCCATCCAGCTTCTCATGTTGTATGTTAAACGTGAAACTTGGCCAAATGACAGTTGTTTAGCTGCTTCGCCCTCTCCAATGCTAAGGACTGTTAAGTTCCGTGCTTCCCATTCTAACTCGATCACACCTCCATCCAATTTGTGAAAATGAATTTCTGCTTTAGAATAGCACCCGCGGCTCCCTCACTAGCATAGCTCCTTCACCGTTTTAAATGTGTTTTGTGGCCAACGCTAACATGTATAATTCCGAATAGCTGTGGCACTGAAAACAGAAAGACAAATTTTGACTCGTAATTCTTCCGCGCCCCCTAAAGAGCGAACTTCGAGGAACAAGAATTTAGGGATTTCACAATAACTAGTAAATATATGAAGGCATTTTTCATGTCACACTTTATTCAGAATGGATTAAAATCAACTCCAGTAAAATAGGATAGGATCCTAGCTGTGTGCTATTACATATTGAGGCACAACCACTGCAGCTATCTGCATAAAGGCGCTGCTAACCTAACTGCAAGCAATGTGAAGCAACTTATTCCACTCTCAGCTGTTTTACCAGGTTCGGGGCTTTTTTAACTAAAGTAATCGCCAAGAATTAGCATCAATGTCTGCAGCCAGTAAACAATCCTTGTTCTATATTTCGACATGTTTGTATATTTGAGCAGAGCAGATCAAGTGTGCATTAGAAGTTGCATTTCACAACTGAAATCTACATCCTTCTGCAGTATGAAGCGAAACATTTAATTACATAACTGTTTAATTAAACCACATGTCCTGCAACATCTCAGATGTATTATCCCTCATCCTCCTTAACTGTCATATTGCAGCCTAATTAAACGGTTGTGGGATCAAGTTCCTGACACTAGAGTGGAGAATCTAGAGCAAAGGGAGTACTGAACTCCAATGCACTATTTTGAAGAAGAATGCTGGAGTTTATCTCCAATGCCTGGCTCAACACATTTCTCTGCCTACATCACACACTGATTTTCTAAAAAGACGAACATTTATGGGGTTTTTTTTTCCTCAAAGATTTCAAAGTGTTTTGCGGCCAATGGAATACATTTGAAATTTAGTTTTAAATTTTAGCCTGTTCCAATGTCATAAACGAGGCTGCTAATTTGCACACCAGCGAACTCCCATCAACAGCAGTGTGATAATGTCCAGGTAGTGTGTTTCAGTTATGTCAAATTAAGGGATTGCCCAAAGAAATGGGGATAACTCCCCTACCCTTCTCATAAATAGGTCTTTGCTAACTTTTACACCCAGTGGAATAGGCATCTCCACCAGACAATGGCACTTGCAATGATGCAGCATTCCTTTAGTACTGCACCAGCATCACCTTCATTTTTGTGCTCAAATCCTGGAGTAGGACTTAAACCTGGAGCCAATGACTCAGAGGACAGAATGCTACCAATATCTGCTTGCTGCTTATGGAAGCTTGCTAAACCTAAACCAGCTGCTGAGTTTGTATATCACAACAGTGACTACACATAAAATACTTATCAGTTGTGAATTGCATTGGGAAGGCCTGAAAGGCACTATAAAAATACAAGTCATTTCTTTATATTGAAGAACCACTAGTTTTACTGTCTCCTAAATAATATGGCTGATCATTCATAATTTCAAAGTTGTTCACATGCTGCTGTAAAATGCTATCAACTATCCTATGTTATGGTCTTAGTTGCCTATTGTTGTTGCCAAAACCTGATTTTTGAAAGTATACTATTGTTTTAAGGTAAATGTTGCAATGGATAAGATCCACAGGGAAGACAATTCTTGTCAAGTCTATGGTCTCAGGATGCACTGGCTAAAGTAACTCCATGATATTCTGATGCTTAAATAATTTCCACAAAGAAGTGAATAAGTTAGCTGAAATAATAAAAGGTAGAAAAACAAACCTTTCAGAACAACCCACCAACAATTACAGATATGGTTTGTTGATACTGATCACAGAAGATTTGAATCTCAACTGAATGCAAATGTGGTTTTGGAAGTAATTCATTCATTAACTGGATATAGTCTCATTAGGGAAACATGCTGGTGTTCAGTCAATAAAAAATCAAAAGACTACATTAATATTTCCCCTACAAGTAATACAGCAGAATAGCTGGGAAGTAAAACTTGGACATGAATTGCATTTACAATGAGTAGCACCTATTTTCACATCTAAGGAACATCTTTACAAAGGATGCTCAACAAAATTCAATGAACACCTAGAACATGAAAATTTATTTCCTGGATTGATGATGGACATAAAAAGATTTTTCCTCTGGATCTTTAAAATTACAGCATTATGACGGACTCCTCATGCCAATGGCATAGATTGATAGCTATTGTGGTAAACACAAATCCAATTTGTATTTTAACTCTTATGAAATGAATGGACAGTTTTAATCGCTTTACGAACTTTTTAAAAAGTAAGTATTTCATATGTGCTACTATTCAGACAGTTGATCAGAAATAATCAAAAGGTCAGTCTAAATAATTATGATTATAATGAAAGATGAGTTTGTTTCATCTTCTCATAGCAACAGGGACAAGAAGCTCAAAGTGATTAAAACAGTGGTATTGTCACACATTTTTGAGAGTTTTGTCAGTAACCCTAAATTCATTATTAACTAGTGAGCATGATATTGCAGTGTGAAACTACAAAATTCGGTTTGTTATATTACTTCATAAAAATAGCCTGGTCACTAGTTTTATTTATTTAGCAGAGTGACTTACTTCTGACAATTCTGCAAACCTTGCTGGGAAACATGAATGGAAAAAACCCTTGGAATTTTCAAGACCATTCTATTTTTTCACAATAGCACAGTAGCCAGGCTGTGTGGCCTTCTTTTCAAGGAACTGCTCAGATTTATGAATTTGTAGGACGTGCTTTTGTTAAGAACTCAAGTAATTTTCAGTTTTTGCAAAACCTATGATTTTGGAACTATTACACTTGTACAGGTCTGTAGTGTATTGTTGGAGAGCCCTCTAATGGTCAAGGTCAAAATAACCACTTTCAGTGACAAGTACTTTACTGTGAATAAAGACAAAATATTTAACTTTAAAAAAAGGTTTGCACCTTATCACTATAAAAGGTAAATCAACATTGGGAAAAGAGGGCACAGGATAGTTATGGAGGTGTGCTTTTCTGACTGGAGGTGTGTGACTGCTGGTCTTCCACAAGGATCAGTACTGGGACCTCTGTTGTTTGCAATATGTAAATGATTTGAATTAAAATGTAGGTGGCCTGATTAGTATGTTTGCAGATGGCACGAAACTTGGTGGAGTTGTGGATAGTGAGGATGGTTGTCAAAGAATACAACAGGATATAGGTCAATTGGAAATTTGAGCGGAAATGTAATGCATTTTGGGAGGTCAAAGACGGGAGAAAGGCATGCAGTAAATGGCGGAACCCTCAGGAGCACTGATATACAGAGGGATTTGGGGGTGCAAGTCCATAACTGCCTGAAAGTGGCAACACAAGTGGATAAAGCACACAGCATACTTGCTTTCATCAGTCAGGGCAGTGTGTATAGGAGTTGGCAAGTCATGTTGCAGCTGTATAAAACTTAACCTACATTTGGAGTATTGGCAGCTCTGGTCGCCACACAATAGGAGGGATGTATAGGTTTTGGGGAGGGTGCAGTGGAGGTTTACTGGATACTGCCTGGATTGAAGTACATTAGCTATAAGGAAAGGTTGGATAAACTGAGATTGTTTTTGCTAGACCATCTGAGGCTGAAGGGCGATCTTTTAGAAGTATATAAAATGATATGGGGTATAGATAGGATGGATAGTCAGAGTCTTTCCCAGGGTGGAAATCTCAAATACTAGGGGTGTGAGTTTAAGGTGAGAGGGGCAAGTTTTAAAGGAGATGTGCGAGGCAAATTTCTTTTACACAGAGGGCAGCAGGCACCTGGAATGTGCTGCCAGGGGAGGTGGTAAAAGGTCCCTTGGTACAGTTTAGGACCAGAGGGCATAGTTTCAGAATAAACAGGCACCAATAATAGAAACTTGAAAGAGGCATTTAGACAGTTACATAAACAGACAAATGGGATTAGTTTAGACTGGCATCATGGGCTGCGCAGACAGGATGGACTGAAGGGCCTGTTCCTGCGCTGTACTGTTCTTTGTTCTATAGCTCAGCATTCCTAATACATTCATTTCTGTTAATTTAACAGATGCTTAAACATTAAAATATTCCAATCTACACAATTGAGCTAACCTGTGATCAGAATTTTGCTTTAAATTGCAGCTGAGTCCCATCCCCAAAAACAGGTTTTCCCATATTTTTATTTTAAAGAATATAAGGTTCACTAGGATGATCCCCGATATGGAGGGATTGTCTTATTTAAGAATGAGGTGAGTAGGAATTTCTTTTCTCAGAGAGATGTGAGTCTTTGAAACCTCTTGCCAAAGAGAGCTACGAGGGCAGATTCC